TTCCTTATTCATGTACGTGACTATGGACTTGCCAGGAGTCTCGCTCCCTTCCAATTTATATTATAACATTTGGTATTTAGGTCATGGATATTATAACTCTTACAGCAGGAATGTATAACTAAGAGCAGGACTGTTTTTATCTGACGAGTCAACTCTCACCAATAAAAGAATAAAAAATAGTGAAGGAGAAATTTATGAAGAATATGGGCACATGATGTTATTCAAGCCTCCAGTATGAGCATATATACTGGAAAATGTTCCTATTTTGGAAGATATAATCATGTAGCAGTTCACATGCAGGTTCAGTTAATATACAGACATATAAAAAAGTTACATATATATCTTGAAAGAGAACACCCTTAGGATTTTTATTTAAACCCAGTGAGAGTAGGCAAAATTACTATTACAACACAGTTTTAGATAAGCTAATTAAAATTCTTACTGATTTTAAAATTCTGACTTTAGCCATGCCTTTTCACTTGGTAGCTTTTTTGTTGATGCTATTGAGCAGCAAAGATGACCATTCTCTCTCTCTATAGCCAGTATAATTTTTAGCAAAAACAATGACTACAGGAACAACAAAGGAGCTGAGTTTTTGTTAGAAAGGAAGGAAATCCTGAGAGCTGATCTAGAGAATCTTCTTATCAAATAGCATCTACAATATAGCCTCAATATAAAAAGTAGACCAAGTGATAGGTGGCTTCCTCAATTGTTTGAAATTTTCATACTATTGGAAAGAAATTATCCTCTGATCACAGACTGCTTTACCACATCCACTAAATTTTAGTCACTGGTGCTCAGAATGAAACCCTATGATTTTCCTCCTGTTCTTGGGAACTCAGTGCCTGTATGCTAAGCCACTTTGCACAAAGGTCACATAGATCGACAGTGACAACAGCAGACCAGAACTGTATCTTGTGTTCCTCATGCAACACAACAAAAGAAGCCAAGTTGATAGTAGCTCCATGAAAGGGAAAATTTGAATACATTCTTTCTTGAATTCCAGTGAACTAATTTATATACTTTATATTCTGTCACTGAAAATCAAAGTCTGAAAGAAAACATAGACAATGGAAAGTTTATTGTTAAGTATTTTTGCTCTTTCGTGATCTTTCATCTCAAATTCTACTTTAGACCCAGTTAATTACCTGTCTAAAGCTGACCTTCAGTTTCAGTATTCATTCAGTCCAGAGTATAAAGGTGTAAGGCTACACTTCTGCATCACGAGAAACTTAAGTATGAGGATGGACCACATTGCAATAATCCCAAAGATCAGAGTAGGAGGGAGTTAATAAGGAAAGAATCAATCCACACAATCCACAGTCTATGGATCAATGAAAGCAAACTTTTTTTTTTTAAGAGGACAAATGTCCTATTAGCTTGTTTGTTCCCTTTCTTCAACTCATTTTACCAAGTGTTTACAGAACACCTTGCTGAGCTAGCACCAGTTATCACTTCGGGGCAAACATAATAATGTTTAGAGAGTGATTCATACTCGAAGTTCACTTCCTTTTAGAGATACTGTCTCATAATCTGTACATTTAAGCTAGAAATAACCTGTGGCAGTTACGCAGTGTCTGAATGGGATTGTATGCTGGCAATGCTTCAGCAGTGAATGCTTCCTGGAACAGCCTTTTTCTTTTCTCTTAAGCCACGTAGCAAAATCCACGGAAGGTGCATCTCTGACAGATGGCTCGCCTTGAGACAATCACTCATCCCTTGAGCACATACTATGTGCCAAGCATTCTTGTTGATCTTAAGCACAGGACTGGACAGATTCAATCCCCTGCACTCTGGTGCTTACATACTCATAGCAGAAACCAAAAAATACTAAGTAAACAAATAATAAGCAGGTTGATAGCAGCTTGGCATAAGTATTATGAAGAGAACACAAAAACATACATAAAAATAGCATAAAACTAGGTATGGGGTTTGGTTATCACAAAGGTTCAGGAAGGGCCTTTCCAAAGAGTGGATACTAAACTCAGGTCAAAAAGAGACCCTCCCAATTTTCAGTATCCTAAGAACAAAGTCAGGGGGCATATAAGACGTCAGTAGAAAAACAATCTTCGGGTTTCCCATGATGGGCATAATCTATTCTGTTCTTTGTAAGGACAGACATGAATAACAGTAAGGAAAAGAGGGCTACGACTGGAGATGACAACATTGCCATTTAGTCTGTGGATGGCTCATACTTTCAAGGTTTATCAGTACCATGGTAACCTCACTTTCGTTCTAGGAGAAAGTAGTAGGAAGCCACCCAGAACTCCCAGTGCTCCAAGTAATAGACAGGCTTCCGTGTGAACTGGCTGGCCCAGCGCTCCCACAGAGAGATGCTGTTTACTCTCTCGCCAGGAGGACACAGTGAGACATGGTTAAATCTGTAATCATTAGCAGTCAGTGCAACACATGCTACTTAAACTTGCTTTCGTCATTTTTTCCTCAGTAGTGGTTCAATGGCCTGTGAATGTTTGCCTTGCAGAGAAAAAGAATTTTTTATTTAAATAAATCATTTCATGGTCAAAGGAAGCTTTTGTTATTTCATAGTTTTCTTTCTTCATACTTGTATGGCACAATAAAATTGAAAAATCAGCATGTGATGCAGTCACTGTGTAACTTAGACAAAAAAAAAAAAAATGCTGCCACAAATTAGCTTAAGTATGTTTTAACCCTGGAGTGGCATAGTTACTGTGAATGTGTGTCACTGTATTGTCAAAAGTGTTGAATTTTCACAAATTTGAAAATAATGCCTATTTTAAAAAAAAAATCAATGTAGACCTCGGGATATGAAAGAAATGTAAGCCATGATTTCTTCAAGGAACTTACAGCTTAGTTGAACAAATAACTAAAAAATACAATGATAAATAACAACATAAGACAGTACACAATTAAGCTATACCAGGAGATAAAATCTAAAAGGACAAAAGAAGTTAAATGGCCCCTCAAGTGAGGCTGAAATCATTGAGTAGTGCTCAATGGAAGAAGTCAGATTTCAAGAATCAGGAGTATTTGGAAAGGAAATGACTGAAGTTTTTCAAATGAACAGATTCATGGAATGAGGAGAGCAAGGAATGGTCTAGAACTATTTCATGGGACAGGGTGGGGATGTTAACAAATGCAGATGTGGCTCTTTTTGGGAGTTGCTAGGAAATGATCACATTTATATTACACCATGCTTACAATGTGCACAGTGTTTTATCAGCTAACGATGCCTAACTAAAAAATTTTGTAAGCCATTGGCTCATACTGATTTTCTCAGCTTCTCAGTGAACCTAAGCAAATTGTTGTAATTTGTAAATATTTGTTGTATTACTCATTACTTGAACAGTATCTTAATAGGGTGTGTAGATGAATTCAAACTCAAAGACTTTGAAAAAGTTACTGCAAGGGAATTGAGACAACAGCACAAATAGAAAAGCATGGAAAGGCTCACCAAGTTCACATCTCTCTGAACACCTCAGAGGAATTATTTTCACAGTTACTCTTTACATAACTTATTGTTTCAAAGACTATAAAGAAGTCATCTAACTCACTTTATTTAATTTTCTAGTAAAATTAAGAATTTTTAAGCTATATTTTTTACTAAACAAAAACCTTACATCTTTGAAGTCATTGATATAAATTCCATCTCCCCTAATGTTTATCACATTCACTCAATCCAAAGTTCACCTTTGGTTATGGATTAACTCCCAACCAGGAAATATTTTCATGATATGAATGCATGCATTTGAACACAATAGTCTCTTTTTTCCCTTATGACTTGAGTCATTCGAGACAGAGTGCCTTTGATAATTCCAGAACTCACAATCTGAATTAGTCCTGGATCTTAAAGACAGAATTAACAGCATTCAGTGTCCTGGTTTAAAGACCCCCAACTGAAGGAAAAGGAATCCATTATGAACCAGAATGAATGTGGTTAGGACCTCTAGTGGACAAACATGTCCCTGCCTCCTATTTCCAATACTAGAATCTACAGAAGTCTCACTCATCCAATTCTAACAACAAAGGGTCAATCAGGAGAATTTCTTCATCTCCCTCTCTACATTTAGCAAATGTTTCCATTGAACTGCAGACCTACAGAGAAAATCTTGTGACTATTGCAGTCATATTTCTCTGAAGTACCTTAGAACTATCATATGGACTAAGAAAGCACTTAAAGGAATTCTAGAATCTTCTCAGAATCTCATATTCCAATTTTGATTAGGGTTGCGCCTGACATATCCAAAGCAAATAATAGATTTACAGAAAATATCTATACTTTTCATCTTGTAAATTGGATCAGCCTTAGTATTGCCACCCTTTTGGACTTAGGGTATTGCAGCAATTCAATACTTCATAAACATTACAAGCTTTATTCCACACTATAATGCCATTATAGTTCCAAAGAATACAGGTGTTTTGTTTTGTTTTGTTTTGTTTTGTCCTTTCCTGTAGATTTGTTTCCTCCTCTGTAAGATAGAGATAACAATAATAATATCTGTGGTTCAAGGCCACTATTATAATGGAAATCAAGTTTGTATAATGTATGGTAGTATATTATCATTCAATAAATAAGAACTGCTAAAACCACAATGACGATGATGATGATGACAATTCATAATTTCTACATTTTCCTCTTCGCCCTACTTCTTAAAACAACATGCTCTCCCAACTAAACATGGATAAACTACTACTCATCTTGTCAGGGAAAGAGTAAACTTGTTAGCAGAGAGACTGACGTTCAGTATTACCTTTCCAGGCAGCAGCCATAGAGTCAGGGATGCAATGGGAATGTTACTGTCCCCTTTAGATTCTGATACATTTAAAAGAGATGGAATTCTTTGATTATCCTACCTCTGCTCAGTGGTTTTAAAACGCTCCTGAGATCAACTGAAATTATATTTTGTTCTGTGATTTGAAAATTATGGACTGCTGAAGATAAAAACTCTGTTGAGTGTTGGGGCTTTCAAGGATGTACGATAACTGGCATATCTTTCCTCTCCCTCCCCCTTTCTCCATAGGCTAACCTTAGAGCCACCGACGTCAGACTCATGCGACAGCTACTCGTAATCAACGAGACCATTGAATCCATCAAGTGGATGATTGAAGAGAAAGGCACCATTACCAGCCGAGGCAGCAGCCTCAGTGGCAGCCTTTGCAGTTTGCTGGAGAGTCAGAGCACCTCCTTACAGGGCAGCTACAACAGCCTGCACGATGGCAGTGATGGACTCGACGGCATCTCCGTGGGGAGCTACCTGGACACTTTGGTCGATGATGTCCCAGGCCATCAGACCCCATCGGACTTGGACCAGTTCAGTGACAGCTCCATAATAGAGGACTCACAGGCACTGCACAAGCATCCCAAACTGAATTCTGAATACTACTGCTTTGGCTGATGACCCGGTTTTATGCATGGGATCAGTGTGCAATTAACTTGTATTTATCCTTCTTCTGCGCTGCTATATTTTTGGTGTGATTTTATATATATATATATATATATATATATATATATATATATATCTCAACCTTCTAAAAAGAAGCTTATTTTGAAACTGCTTGGTGTTATTTCTGTTGCTTCTAATATTTCTCATCTGGATTGAATTATCTTTTTCTTTTACATCTCTATTTTTATTTATTACAATGATTTTTCTCCCTTCTTTTACAATTGCACAAATAAAGTAGGGGGAAAAAATAAGCAATAACTATGTTTTTGTTTTCAGAGCAAGGGGGCAGGGATTATAAGATAAACTTTGCTAAATTTTACAATAAACCAAAGTCTTACAACACTTAATTTTGTCACTCGTATTCTTGACACTCAAAAGTTTCATCTTCAAGAAGATAACTGAGGTACAATATGATTTTTATATTGGGTTAAAAAGAACAAATGTAGACATTATTTTTTGGTCACAGTTACTTCATGTATAATCAGCAGCATTGTTAGTCATACACACTTACATCAGGAACATTTGGAAGCCCCAGCTATATGCAATTCTTTCACTTTTGTAGTTTTTTCATCAGCTATTCTAATTAAAACCATGGCACTGTTGGTGATAATATATATACTCCCCATAACTTTAATTATGATTAGATTTTAAGATTTTCCTTGCTCTCTGAAAATGAAGTATTCCTAGTAGGTATGATCTAGTAGTTGACTTTTTTGAATCTAGATTATTCAAAAATATTCAAATAAATTAATGCCTAATATTTCCAGACTCCAAAAAAATAACCTACCAACTTATTTAAACAGGAACATCTAATTTGGGATAGTGGGAGACTAGAGGTAAAGTAGTCCTTAAATTTAATTATTTTTAGGTTTTTGTTAACTTTTACTTTTGTACACTCTAATTCTGGATTATATGTATATATTCTCACACACACAAGTAGATAAACAGATAGAATAATGAATGGGTGGATGAAAAGATACAGCACTAAGAAGCTAAAGCCACTTCAGTGCGAGTTCGATCCCTGGCACCGGATGTGACCCACATGGCGAGGCAGACCTCTCCTGACCCGCCCGCCGCTCCCTTCAGCAGTGTACTTCGTTGCTCTGCCTCTTCTGCTCCCCACTCTGTCTCTGGTGAAGCCTCTCACCACTCCTGCACCTCTGCCCTATACCCCAGCTCTATCTGCATAAATAAATACATCTAAAAAAATAAAAATAAAAAAGCAGTATTTGCCAGAAGCAGTCAAATACATGAAAGATTAGTCCTCTCTTCAGATTGTGAATTTATCTTGCAAATTTCTTTTACACATTCCTGTTTCCTATCAGCTCCCTCTGCTATTTTGTTCATTCCATGCCCTTTATGAATTTTCCCCAAATACAAAGGAAATGAAAAGCAGGAGTAAAATGTAGGAGGAGTATATGGGGTAACTGTCACACTGTATTTTAAAGAATTTATAATAAACACTGACAGAAAGATGGAGGGGAGTGTTTTTATTCAAGTTTTCAGTATTTTATATGTTTTGTAATTATTTCTGTATTTTGCAAAAAACAGCAAATATAAAGTCCCATGATTTACATATATGTAGTCACATATGTATCAATGCTTTTATAGTTGAATTTAAGAAGAGAAGGGGAACATTCAGATAAATCACACCAATTAGTAACATATTCATTAGTCTCAAGAGAATGAATGTTTTTTCAACTAATGAGCCCATAACTAATCCCAGGACAATTAAGATATTTGATCTCTATCAGCACCACAAAGAAATGGAGGAAAAGTTAAAGCACATTGCACTTCAAACTTCTGCCTGCACTGAATTGTGTTCTCTAGAGAAATGGAATCTTCCTCAGTTACATTAAGCTCTATTTTTATGAACTTACCTATCATGTAATGGATCAGATAATTAAAGGTAAGGAATTCACACAATTTAAGTAGTACACTTTTGAGGTTTTGCAAATAAGGAATCGCTAGATGACCAATTAGGAATCTTAATTAAATTTCAAAGAAAGTTGAATATTTATACTACTAGTCAACCCCAAATTATATAGCATAAAGTTTTAAATATTCATCAAAGTTTAGAAATTAAGTAAGAATCCTTTGCTACTGGGTGCACTCAAAAACATTTGGAGTTTTACAGATAATTTCAATCAGGCACTTATATTCTTAACTCTGTCCAAACATAATCACCTCTGTAAGGCCAACTTCAATGGTTATTTCAAAGTCTGAGTGTCTGGCACATTTGGTCACTCTTTTCTTGATAGACTATCTTTACTTAGCTCCAGGAATGACCCTTTCTAAATTCCATAATTTCCAACTGCCTGCTTATTCACACAATCAGCTACTAATTTATCTTCTATTTGTGACTTCCAAACATGAAAGTGTCTCTTTTGCTCTATTTTCGTATCACCTTTATTCTAAAATGGCTCCCTTGAAGATTTCACCCACTTTCATAGCTTGAAATGTCATCTACGTGCTAAGATTAATAACTAAAAGTGTACTACTAGCCCATTTCTGGCTTGGAGTCCATGCAAATCTGCTTCCATATGGTCTTTACTTGATGTCTGGTAAGGCGCTCAGTCTGAACATATCCAAAACTGAAACTTTGCTTTTCTTTTGCAATCTTCCTCAGTTCACTAAATGGTGACTCCACTCAACAGATGCTCAACCTACTCCTTGAAGTCATTCTTGACCGGCTTTTTTCTCATACCATAACCAATAAGGTATGCAAATCATGAGTTCTACCTTAAAAGTGCATCCAAAATGAACTACAAATCCTCACCACTACCCCTCCTACCACTCTAATCCACGTGACTATCACTTACTTGTAGGACTATTGCAATAGACCAATCTATGTCTTCAACATAACAACCACAGTAATAATTTAAAATGTCATGTTTTTCACCTTCTGTTCTAGCCCTGTAATGTCTTTCCATCTCCCTGAGACTAAAGTCAAATATTTACAATAGATTATACAATCTCGTATAATCTCATGTGCCTGCCTATCCTACCTCAACTTGTTCCACTCCCTCACTGTGAGTATCATAAGCATCCTTACTATTCATTAAAAATATCAAAATCCAAATATGTTGTTACCTTAAAATATTTGAAATACTGGCCAAGATATGCCATGTTGCTACCTTAAAATATTTGCATCTATTATATTTCCTTTTTTGAAATACTGGCCAAGATATGCCTGAGTCCTCTTACCCCAGTTTTTTTTTTTTTTTTTTTTTTTTTTTGGTCTACAAATAAATGTCAACTGAGAGGACTTCATATAGCACACTTGGCACATTTTCTCATTGTGGATTACTGTTCTTAATATAACCTAATGGTCATTTTATATTTATTCTCTGTGTCCCTGCACTATGGTATAAAACCTACTTAGAAGAGTATCTGTCACATAGCTGATAGCAAATAATTTTTCCAAAAGCAATCACTAAATATTTGTTAAGTACTTTCTAGATGTCAGGTAATGACTGTGCTTGGCTCTGGTGATTCAAACATAAGGAAGGTATGAACCCTGATCTCATTGCCTTGTATTTTTCTCTGGTAAGCAAAATAGGTTCCACCCCATTAAAGATCCCAGCTCCTAGACCCAGGAGCCTGTGAATATTTTACATAGTATAAGACACTTTTCAGAATTGACTGAGTTAAATTAAGAAAACTGAGCTCAGATACTGACCTTGGATTATATGTATCGGTCCACAGCAACTATGGTATCTTTATAAAAGAGGGGGATGGGGGAGAGAGAGAGGAGTAGGCAGCGAACAAGGTGGAAGGGTAGAGAAAGGTGTAAATGAAGTATGTTATTATGCTGGTAAGAATAGAATGAAGTGTCCTGGAGCTAAGAAATGCTAAAACCACAAAGGAATAGACACACCTTAGAGACCTACAGACACCTTGATTTTTAGTCTAATAAGCTCTATTTTGGACTTCTGACCCCAGAATTTTAAGAATAAAGGATGGCTACTGAATTTTGAGAATAATGATAGGAAAATCTATGTTGCTTTCAACAAAGTGTTAGTAGAAATACAAATTTGAATGACAGTGCTAGCAAAAACTTATAAGAAAGTTAGGGGCAGGGTATAGAAACATACACTGTTTTAAAGAAGACTTAACAATTCCAAACTGACTATGGTACAAAGGATAGCACAACTTGTAAGGACTCAGAAGTAAATGAGAAATATATTATTGGAAACTGGAAGAAACAAACATCTTTTATATATGCACAGGAAATTTAGTGTAATAACCTACGGCTTGGAAAGCATGATTTTTAGCAATAAAATTGGGATATTTTTCTGAGACTACCAAGCAAAGTTCTGAATATGTAGTTTGGTTTCTTTTTGTTTCTTACAAATGCAAATGCAAAATGATAAAGAAGAGGGAAAAGAAAATGAAAGAAGGCCCAAGACTTGATGAAACAGGAAATTACTAGTTATTCAGAATACTTATAGTGTCTAGAAAGATTGTTCTGGAGTAGAAGCCACAGGCGTGGCTGACAACCCTTTCCTTTGCTTCAGAAGGTTCAAAAGGTTAGCATGAGTAGTCTGTACCTTTCTTGAAATTGGGCAGATGACTCATGCATTGTCTCAACCTTGTCAGCAGTAATCAAAAATACAGATAGGATTATCTAAGAAAGGCCTATGAAAGGGCTTCCTGTACAATATAGTGAATTCCTGTGATATACATAGGAGACTCACACAGTTCTTGAGAATTTTATACCAGTAGGAACATTGCCATCTTGGATTAAAAGTACAATTGAAAAAATACCGTAAGACCTTCAAAATCCAACAAAGAGGAAAACAGGCTGAAACAACTCAACTATTCAGCTTTAAATACTTCCCACTACAGCTGAAAAAGGAATACAACTTCAAGGGCACAGATCCAATTTCAGAGGGAAGACTCAGTCATAAGATCAAAAAGCAAATCTAAAAATCAGAGGAATATTCACAAATGTTGAAATCTCAGCTATACTTTAACATTGAATGGGGACTGGTGATATTCTTTCTTTCCTTTATTCCTTTTATAAACTGAAATATCTATAATTGTTATCCTGTGTCTGCCCCACCAATGTACTTGGTATACTTGGTAATAGCAGATAACGTTTCTTGAGAGTCACAGGTTTGCACATGGAGAGGATTTGTGCCCTGAGCTGGGCTAGACCAAGAGTCTCATCTATAACTTGGCTTAGATTAAGAAATTTGGAACTTCTTAGCTGATGAGATTTAAATGTGACTTCTAGACTTAGAACATACTGTATTGTGATATATGATGATGATTGCATTGTTGATGTTCATGTCTTGTGGGAGACAGAATGAACTTTGGTAT